CAATTTGATTCACAAAAAGAAGCAGTTTTTTGTGAGAAAACAAAAAGAAAGCAATACTTTCTTTTTGTTTGCAAACTACATCAGGTGACAAACAAACCTGCATCCATTTGTCCTGAACAAAAAGAAAAATGGCTCTGTCCCAAAATTGTGGCACAAATTAAGTTTGTGAACCGAGGTGGTACAATGTATGTGCACATATATATTTTTTCCTTAAAAACACTTTTCTATATATTGGAAAACTTTCCACATCTTGATTTACTTTCTTCATTTTAACTCTTAAGGAGTAATAATAATAATTAGTAATTATTAAAAATGTCATGCACACTAAAAGCTGTTGTGTTTTACTATTATTTTACTTAACTCTCATAAAGAGCAATTTATGAAATAATAAAAGAGTCACTGAGCATTTAAGTGAGCTACCTAAATTCAAAACTCCCCAAATTCTTAGCCAGTCTATCTCTAGATCCTATAAGCAGAAACACCATACTGGAATATACTGAATCTCTTTGTAGGAATGTGTTGCCATTGCTTTAACAACTCTATAGATATGAATTTAGACTTTTCATGATTTTACATGGTTAACATCTGTAATAAAGTTACTGGTAACTTAAACATTTATTGGACATTGGATACGAGAGATCAGTTTCCACGGATGACTAACTCTTTTCATAAAAACTAAATGCAATAAATGTTCTGATTTACATAACTCAGAAAAATCATGAGTTTTCCTCATAAACTATGGTAATTAACCATATGACAAATTCCCTATAATTAAGGGATAAATTGCTGGCATAAAAATAATTGCTTGTATGCTATAATTACTCAGTAGCTTATAGTTTATCAAACATACTTTTAACTAAGGGGTTATATAAGTACAAAACTTCTGGAAGAAACTCTTTGCTTTCTTCATATGGAACTGACAATAAGAAAACGATAGATTGGCATAATAATGCTAAAACTCTTGGCCATTCCTATGGACTGAAATTTAAATAACTCTTCCTTTGTCTCCTGTTATGGATTAAAAACTGGTGGTCAACTTAATGCCAGCTGGATTACATCAGTATGGCTCTGAGTTTACATGTTCCACCTGAGGAAAGTTGCCAGCATAAATACAGATGTGGAGAAGGAGAAGCTATGCATTGATGCATTGAGCTGTTCAGGAATTGTGGCATTGTGGGTTCTATGTGTTGCCGTTGGAGCTGTTGGTTCTCCTGGAGGAGTTCTGGTCCTCACATCAAACATTGCTTACTGGCTCTAGAGGAGAGGAAGACTTGTGCCACTTGTGTCTTCAGGATGAACTTGTCACACTGGCTTCCTGGCATGTACTCAACTGTGTTTATCGTCAGAGGAGCTCGGGGCATTCCGTGTCATTGAGGATGCCTGTGGTGCTTTTCAGGACAGCCCTGGTCGTTGCTGTGAGTGGGACTTCTCAGCTCCAGCATAGAACCCTCAACCTGCCAGCACAGCTCCTTCACTCTGCTACACTTTCTAGCTTCCACTGCTGACCTTTGGGCCTTCCCAGCATCGATCCGTAAAAGAGACTGGTATAAGTCCTTGTGGGCTCTAGACCTCCAGTTGGACTCGTGGAAGGTACTGTCATGAGCTCTGGGTCTTCATCTGGATTCATGTGGAACATTGCTGTGAGAATCAGGTCCTTGACTAAATATTCTATGTCTTTAGTGTTGTGGATAGATTTCCTGCATTTTCTTGTGTTAACTCTGGGTGACCATCATAAAACAATATTACAAATTCCATGTCCTGATTCTAATTGTTGTCCTCACAACCCCTGACTACATCTCCCAACTAATGTCACTGTTCACCAATCAACTATTAAGATCAAAGTATTTAGGAAGAATTTCATATTACCATATTTATCAATGTGAATTATAGTCAAAGCAATGTGTTTGATTTATGTAATCCTTATTACAAGGAAAGTAGAAAAAATTATAGTAGACACCTTTGTGTAATGATCTTCCTCTCCTTCTGGCTGAGGAGTACAAAGAAATGTTGCAATACAGTTGCAAGGGAAGCCGGACATATATTCCTCCTATACTCCTAGTATCACCTCCTAATCTACCCATGACCTGTGTGTATGGAAAGGGGTAGGGGAAGACCACGCTCAGTGCATCCTTTGTGACAACAGGAATGGAATAGTCAGAGAGGGGACCCATACATCCCCATAAAGTGAGAATGAATCTAACTATCCCCAACTACCAGAGTGAAAACAAAGCACATGCATTTGACATGAGGAACAGTAATAAAACTAATGAAAGAAGTTCATAAATACTTGTCTCTGGAAATTTATTATTCTAATAAAATTGTTTCCTTCTACCAGTTTGTATTTTAAAGCTCACAATAAAAATAAAATGAATTAGCATAAAATTAGCATAAATAAAAATGAATTAGCGTAAAATACATAGTAATGTTAAAATCATTTAATATAGGGAGTTATGCGACAGTGTATAGAAATATTTGGCAAAACTGGAAGTTAATAAAAAGCTATAATGCAAATAAATATGCTAGAAAGTAGAATATTGGTTATCATTCCAGTAAGTTTCAGAGATGCAAACAGAAAAGATGAATGTTACCCTATTTTCTTCAAAATATGCTTAAAATCTTTTCCTTAATTCCATTGTTTTCTATCTTTATTAAGTTAAACAAGATGAAATTTTGTATATATTATTCAGTTTTTAAAACTGAATAGATATAGATACATGTCTCATAGTATTACACTGCATATTTTTCTCTGTTGCTCATCAATGATGTGGACTTTTGAAAATAAACACTTGGAAATTCAATTTATTAACTGTGAGTAGGGAAACTTATTGTAATAGAGTATTTGCTAAGCTCCTATAGAAGAGAAATTTAAATAAACAAATGGCTCAGAGGAGAAAGCAGTTCACTTTGTTTTTGGACTCATGTACATAGAGTGGGTATGTGGACTCCACTCTAAGAGTTCATCTATTAAGGTAACTGGCAAGGTAGATTTGCCCTCCTGGAAAAGGACTCCCCAAGATGGTTCCAGCCACCAGCTCATTCATTTGGTGAGCATGGGTAGAGAAGGCCCAGGCAAGTCTTCCAGGAAGCATATCAGAGGCTGAACTTATTTCTTTTGCTCACATTTCATTGTTCTAAACTTGTTTTCTGGTCACACCTGAAAGCAAGAGAAAGTGTGCAGTGTGGACCAGAGCTGAGCAGCTGGACTGATGTGGCTAAAATTGAGGCAGCCAACTAAAAAGGAAGAAGAGAAGATGAAATATTTCTGGATCATTCGCAGTCTGTGCCACTATACTAAGAGCCAGCTTTAAAAATTGTTATGAGGCCTGAGAATATTTTTGTAGAGCACAGAAATGTTTTTGTGGAGCTTATAGAAACCATCAGCATGGTATTTGACATGTACAATTATTAAATGGTAGCTATTACTAGAACCATCATTTTATAATTAATCAGCATCTCTAGACTCTCTTAAAGGCTTGAATTTTCCTCCATAGGGTCACACCTAAGTGATTATTTAGCTGTTCTGGAATTGTTTCAGGAAAAAAATCACTCTTGAAACAGTCATTTTATTGAGAAAGTTTTCTTCTCTTTCCAGCCTTTGCTTATCTTCTTAAATCCACATTCTTTTCTTTTGTCCTATTTGTGCTCTCTGAGGTCCTACAGAACAATTCTCATTAATTTGTCTTACAATAGTTTTCCAGATGCTTATAGAAAACTATGGCTTTGTCTATACGTTTCTTTTCCATAGGCTAATCACTTCTGGTTCCTCCAACAATCTCTCATAATACATGATTTTGAATCCATTCACCCTTCTACATATATTCATTTAGAATTATACATCATATTGAGTGCTGGCTACTCTATTTTACCACTCTCTGTCTGATAAGCATGTTGCCAAAGACTGTATACAAAATTTCAAGTTATTCTGACCAAAAATAAGCATAGCAGATCTATGATCTTCTCATTCTGGATATCAGTTTCCCTAAATGGGTCTTAAGATCATGGAAATAATTTTGGCAGCTGTTCATGCTGTTCACATATGCTCAGTTGTGCCTCGCTGTCCCACGGAGCCTTTCTCATTTGTGCAGTTAACCTAAATGTCCCCTAACCTACACATGAACTCACTTTTTTTAATCTACATACAAACACTTCTTTCTTTCTAGCAAATTAATTGTACCTTCTCTCAAGAACTTTTATTCCTTCACCCGATATGCCTCACAGATTCCCACCCTCTATACACCTCATTAGCAGGTGACTCAACTTCTTATCTAAAACACTGATTACAATGTAGAAATGGACAGAGCTGAGCAGAAACCATTAGCAGCCTTCTGGGAAATCATATAACTGGTTATAAATGCATACAACTACATCAATATTATGGAATATAGATATCCTATCTGCTTTACAAAAATGTTTGGCTCTGTGCTTTCTTCCGTGCTAGGTGAGGCCATGTCCCCCCATCAAAGTGCTCCAGGGTCTGGCTGTATCCAGCCCAGCTCAAACCTCATGCCTCCTCCAATAGGAGAGTATGCCTGCGGTATTCCTGCTGCTGGGCCCTCATATGCTGAGGTTTAAAATATTATTAATCCCTGATTGTGTGCCAGGTATTGAATGAGGTATGTTCTTATAGGCATGAAGCATGAAAGAAATGCAATGTTTCATGAAGAAAATGATTACATTTTCAAGTGGAAACATTTTATTGGGTCCATTTGTGAAATCAGGGTACCATGTTTCTTACATGGAAGTGCTCTGAAGTACTGCATGGATTCCATGCACAGGACTCAGCTTTGGACATGAGGGATGAGACAAACATTTTAAATGAGATATGCATTTTTCTACGATAACCTATTCAGTGGCTAAATTCTTGCTAAATAGCACATCAAACTGTGAGGTTAAATTAGTCAACAATAGGTATGTAGGCATTCTCCTGATACATGTGCAGAAACTAATTATTAGTTTGATCTAGGTAACAATAACATTTGAGAATTCAAACTAGCAATCACCTGTACAGATGTTACCTTTTCCAAAGGACTTTCTACTCGAGGAATGTTGATCATTGGCATCTGGGCCAGATTATCCATGTGTATATGATCATTTTCTGGTTGTTTTCCTTTGAAATTATTTACCACACACACGACCTAAAATTTCAAAATGGGTTACAGGTAAGTAAAACCATAAATCCTGTGTTATCAGCCTTTTGATTAATTTAATACATTTAAATATAATAGTAAAGTATTAAAAATACTTAAGAATAACATGTATAAATTTTGCATTTAGATTTATTTCATACAAATTTTAATAGCTGCTCGAATGCAGTGAGGCTCAAAGATTCATCAATTAGTATGTAGCTCAATTAATAATGACAAATTCATCATTCCAAAATTTTCATTAAAATATAGTCAATTCTCAAATCAACCCCAAAATAGCACCATAACCTTATAAAAATTCACAGCAAGCTAACCTTTCCCTAATGTGGCTAACCTACAGCTTAATTTAAATGCTAATTACTTTCCATTGCTTCAAGATTAATACATTCATGATAAACCTTTTACAATTGGCACTGTAATTCAGTAACATCCTTTTAATTAATCTAGTTTATTGTCTATTATTGTGTCACACATACATTTGGCATTTCAACAATACTTTACTGGCGATACTACTTAAATAGATGACCCTTCGTATAAAATTGACCCTTGTTTCAGTTGATTATATTATAGAGGTGAAAGAATTTGAAGTAAACCAGAGTTTCTCACACTCTGTCCATAAAAAGTTTTAGCACGGTGAGAAATGCTAATTCTTATGCCTTTCTCTAGAATTTTCCATATGGTAGGTTAAGGATGGGCCTAGGAGTTGGTCCTGTAAAATACATTCTAGAAATTTCTGATACAAATGGATGATGTTTAAGAAATGATAAATAAAAAAACACAGAAAGTTTTTGTTATTGTTTGTTTATGTTAAGTAGTGGGCAAGATCTTGAGTTTTCTGTTTATGAATTTCAGATACTATAAAGCGGGATACAGATTTACTTGCAGTTACAATCTAATACTCATTTTTAAAAACTTATCCATAATAATACATTCATATAAAATGCTAATTCATTAGAAAGCCTTTCCTTAGGAGGACTTACTACTGAATATTGCTTTTCAAATAACCTTAGTTACTTTCCAACTTTTTAAATGAAACTTGCATTAAATGAAACTTATAATCTCCAGGATACTAACACTTACTCTCAGAAATGTCAGAAAAATATTTCCTTGTAATCTGTTATTTATTTCTTATCCTTCTTTCCCTAAAAGAATTACAAGTTGGAAACATAAATCCTAACAATTTGATAACTCAGTTTTACTGATGTCATCAATATCTTCAAAGAAAGGAATGATAAGGCTGTGAAGATGTGTACTTGGTAAATCTGTGAAATGACATTGCCAGCTTCGAGGCCCCACAAAAGACTGATACTGATTGCTGAGAAGATAGTCAGAGAGTTTCTCTGGAAACAGAAGATAGTATTTTTGGCTTTGTAGGTTTACAGTCTCTACGGTAACTAGTCAGCTCTGCTTTTCTGATACAAAGCAGTCACTAAACAATTGATAAATGAACAGGCATATTAATGTTCAATAAACTTTTTTTACAAAATCAGACAGCAGATCAACTTTGGTCTGTAGGCTGTAGCTTACTGATTAAGCACTGTCTAAAAAAAGGATATCATCAAGAATTTTTGCTAAGAATTACAATGAAGCAAACTAGTCATCTTTCAACCATTCCACAAAACAAAAACATATATGCATTTTCTATTTCATTACTAAATAAATTATTGAAAAACTCAGTAGATGAACATTGTTAGTAAACCTTCTGAAGTAAAATTTATTGAACACAGAAACTACATAGGCTTTTGGAACTCATGAAATGAAGTTCATCTAACGTTAATATGAGTTCTAGAACTAGTATAATTATTTTGTTTTTCAAAGCAGAAAAAAGTAAGAAATAACAATAAAATAGAGTTTCAAAACAGCCTCGTAGAAGAGTAACAATAATCAACACATTGTGTATTGTTATACTCACAGTAGTTATTCAGAGGACAAGATATAGGCATGAAACAATACCCAGAAAATTACTAACATGGAATTTTCCTCTCAATGAATCAAGAGAAACCAGCTGTGTAACTATCTTAACTGTCTTGTGTTTATATATTTTTTCCTTTTCCCTTTCTCCTAACACAGTTTTTCTTTTCTTCAGAACAGTTTATTCCATATTCACAATATCTATTGTACATTTTGCACCCTGTTTACTCTTCATATTCTCTCTTTTTTAAAAAATTTTATTTAAAAGGAAAAAGAAAAAACAAAACAAAACAAAGCAGTGTAAGGGTACAAGTAATACAGAACTACAAAAAAAAGCAGTAAGAAATCACTTCATATTCTCACATTAGTGAAATAAGATGATGTTTACACATGCAGGGCACTTATGAATACAATCTCAAGTTGCATTCATTTACTTATAAAAGTCTCAAATTTATATGTTTTTATGGCCAAGTAGTATTACACTATATTAAAAAAAAATCCACACCTTTCTAATCCATTCTTCAGTTGATGGGTATTTGGGTTGTTTCCAAGATCTGGCTATTATAAATTGTGCTGCTACAAACATGGGTGCACACATATCTCTGTGGTATGATGTTTTCAATTATTCTGGGAAGATACGCAGAATGGGACTAGCTGGGTCAGATGGGACCTCCAATCCTAGTTTTTAAAGAAATTTCCACAGTGGTTGCACCAGTCTACACTCCACCAACAGTGAAAAAGGGTTCCTTTTTCCCCACAGCCTCATCATCATTGTTATTGGTTGTTTTCTTGATAATAACCATTCTTTCTGCAGTGAGATGGAATCTCAGTGTTATTTACATTTGTATCTATTGAATGACCAATGATGTTAAATGCTTTTCATATATTTATCTGTCATTTGTATTTGTTCATCTGAGAAGTATGTATTTATCTCAAATGCCCATTTTTGGATTGGGTCTTTGAATTTTGGGGTCCTGAAGTTTTTCAATTCTTTATGTGTTCTATATATAAGTCCTTTGTCTGAGGGACAAATGGCTATAAATTTTTCTCACTCTGTGTTTGTTTTTCACTTTGTTGGTGATTTCTTTTGTTATGCAAAAGCTTTTTAATAAGATGAGATGCTATTTGTTGATTCTTTGTTGTATTTGCTGTCCTAACCGGGTTTTGTTCATGAAGTCTTTGCTTATACCTATGTGTTCAAGATTTCTATTTATTTTGTCTTCCATTTTATTTGGTGTTTCTGTTTTAATGTTTAGATTTTTGATCCATTTGGACTTTAGTTTAGTGCATGGTGATAGACACGGGTCTAATTTTGGTCTTTGGCATATGGAAACCCAACTTTTCCTGCATCATTTATTAAAGACTATCTTTCTTGCAGTGAACATGTTTGGCTTCTGTGTCAAAGATAAGGTAGTTTACTATGTTTGTAGTTGTATCTGCGTCTTGTATTCTGTTCCACTAACTCTCAGGTCTGTTTCTACGCCAATTCCATGCTGATATTATCATAACATTTTTGTAGTATAATTTCAGGTCAGGGATTGTGATATACACTGACTTACCTTTGTTACTCAGGATAGTCTGAAGGCAAGTATTACCCTGATTCAAAACCCAGAGAAGAACTCAACCAACAGAGAAAACTACAGGCCAATTTCTTTAGTGAACGTAGAAGCAAATTTTCAGTAAGATACCAGCATGCAGAATGCATCAAATCATCAAAAATCATGAACAAGTAGGATTCATACCAAGAATGCAGGGATGGGTCAATATCAATAAATATATACACCCTATGAACAGAACCAAGAGAAACCATGAACCAAGATCATCTCAATAGATGCTTAAAAAAATTTGACAAAGGCCAGCATCTATTCATGTTAAAAATCCTACAGAAAATTATAATAGACTGTCTTTATCTTAATCTGATAAAAAAAATCTATAACAAACCAAGAGCTAACATTATACTACATGGGCAAAACCTAAAAATTTTTATTCTAAAATCTGGAACAAGGATGTCCACTATCACCTCTCCTATTCAGTATAGTTCTGGAATCACTAGCCAGAAAAATTAAACATGAGAAAGAAAAAAGGAATAAGGATAAGAAAGAAAGAAGTTAAATGAACATTATTGTAGAAGACATGACACCCCTACATGGAAAACCCCACAAGTTCCACCAAAAGACCTATAGACTTTATTTGGTTATTACCAAATTCAGTAAGCTGGATACAAAGTGAACACTAAAAAATCAATAGCATTCCTGTACACAAATAAAAAACTCACAGAGAGTGAAATTAAGGAAAACATACCCTTCACAACACATTCCAAAAGTATTAAATACTTAGGAATCAATCTAACTAAAGAAGTAAAAGTTCTATACATTGAAAACTACAGTACTCTGAAAAAGGAGATCAAAGAAGGCATCAGAAAATGGGAAGCCATTCCTTGCTTTTGGGTGGGAAGAACCAACGTAGTGACAATGGTCATACTCTCTAAACTGCTATACAGATTTAATGCAATTCCAATCAGAATACCATTAGCATACTTTGCAGATCTAGAGAAAACATTCCTAAAATTCATTTGGAACCAGAAGAGAGTTGGAATGGTATAATTGTTTTTAATATTATTTAGATTTGGAAAATTCTTTGAAAGAATCTATAGGTTATCTCTTTGCCTGTATAAAACATTAGGTTCAGCTATATGCCACTGAATGCCTATGGTCTAATGGGACTCTGGGAACCTGAGGCAGGAGTTTAGATCCAGCCTGGAAAATTTAGGGACTTAAGAGAGTCTGTCGCAAAATTTCAAAATTAATAATAATAATAATAGAAGAAATGATGTTGGGATATAGTTCAATGCAAAGACTGATTTTAATTCCCACTACAGAGAGAAAGAGAGAGAGAGAGAGAGAGAGAGAGAGAGAGAGAGAGAGAGAAGCTGAGAGAATTCATATGTCAAAAATAATCCATAATATCCCTAACGCTTATTTATTGAATGGTAAATACTGGCATAATAATTATTCTTCTTTACTCTTGGTATTTAAATTATAGGAAAAGAAATTACCAAATCTTCCATAGAGTTTTCTTTA